TTTTCCTCAGAGAAGACAATAAACGTACTCAGGGAAAACTCAAGGTTCTTCATGGGTGTTTTAATATTTTCTTCTCCTACCACCCCCCTTTTTTTTATATTCTATATGAAAATTTATTAATAGAGAGAATACAAAGACAGAAAACACAAATTTGAATACAATTTGGTACAATATTCAAAAAAATTTTGAATTTCCTCGCAGCTCCTCCGAAGCCGGACATGAGCCCAGTATGCAGCAAGATTTCCCTTCTGGATGGCCATGCTGAGGCGCTGGAACATGAAGTGGCTTCCCCTTGGGGTCCCTGGGGGTGTCGATGAGTCTGGAACCCAATTCTTTAGGAAACGTGGCCTTTTTTTCCCCAGACCCAAGGTCTCTGATCCCACTGGGACAAATTGATATGTTGGCTTATGTCCCTTTACTTGTGATTTTGACTCCTCCCAGTGCTCGCGCTCCTCCCTGTCCCCTGACACTGTGATGGATATAGGTGTCACCATGTGGACACACAGGTTGTCCCATGCTAAAAAGCTTGCCATTTTTCCCAAGGGATGATGGTGACCCCTCGAGGCGGTTTGCTTGGGTAAAGGGCTTTTGTTGGTGCTAGTATGGGGGACCCTCTCGGGGGGCATCCAGCTGTAGAAAGGGTTTCTTTATGGGTCAATGACCTCATTGTGTCTTGCATGTCAGCCCTTTGGGTTTTGGGAAAAGTTAAGACTTTGTACACATATGGTCGGCATCCCAAACGCCGCAAATACACGAATTCCGTTTTAATGGGGCGCAGCTTGGGGGAGGGAAAATCCCTGTCGTGTTGCGCCTAAGCATGTTGGAAGCACCTTTTTTAGTGATATGGCCATTCCGCTTGACTGTTTGTAGGCCATGTGCACTAGGGTTTTGGGACTGGGGCAGCAAAAAATTTTCCCATTCGTGTGGCATGGCGTACTAGGGTCCCGATTCCGTTAGTCACTGAGGTTGTTCGAAAGAAATTTTTTTTAAGAACTTTTAATGCAAAGAAAAGGATAGGAAAGTGGTAGGGAAATCTGGGAGGTTTTACTACTTCCAGCCCCCCAAACATCGACAGGGAGAGAAGGTCGATCGAAGAACCACCAAAAAAAATCCCCAAACCAAAAACCCCTCAAGAAACCCCCAAAATCTGGTCGAAAAACCAAACATCTAACCCCCAAAAAACTGCACCCCCAGCCCCCACACCCGCCAAATGCATAGCAATTTCTTTACACAAAACGCACACACACACAATTATATTCTTTCAGGTTTAAACAGGTCATTCTTGATAAGGCATTGCAAGAATTGTAAAATATTTACATAACATACAAGTTTTAGCATTTATATTTTTTATATAAAAAAATATATGAGTCATTTACATCTCTTAACATTGTTTTGATAATATTAAAACTTGAAACAGGATATCGTAGGTTGATTTTTTTCTCTCAAATTTGAGCAGACATCTCCCACTCATTTCAAAGAAATAATTCTTCAAATACTTATTCTAAATGGGAGATTTCAGTGCGACATTCAAAAAGGATCCAGCACTTATTTTGACTACAAACATGAAACAAGACTAATTACACCTTAGTTATTGTACACTTACCATTTATAATGGTTGTCCTCCCATATCTCTTACCACCTTTCACTCCAACTTCTCTAATGAAGATCCTAACTCTGCCTACAACTTTCCACACCTCCACACGTTCCATCTCCCACATACCCTCTCACCTCCCACCCTCCCACCCTCCCACCCTCTCCCCCTCCACCCTCCACCCTCTCACTCATGCTCAAACACCTGGGAACAACTACTCTGTGACGTAATGGTTCTTACTTGATTTGAATACATCTCTAGCAATATTTTTTTTGTATAATATATTGAAAAGGTGTATATTACCATGATCATGGAGTGGTAATGGTATACATTAGGTATACATTAGGTATACATTAGGTATACATGGTAAGTATATACATTCTTCAACAAGAATACTGGTAAGTTATACAAGCTTAAATGATAATAAGCATTTTATATAAAGGTACAATTTCTAATCAGTTATACAAATTTGACTTTAACATTGAAAATTAAAAAGAAAAGGTAAATAATACAACTTTCAAGACTGGTAACATTACGAGTTTAAACTCACAATGTTATCATTTCACAAAAATCATGCAATCTCTTATATGTCCAAATTTGTTTCTCCCAGGTAATATTTCAACTTTTTATGCAATATAAATTCTTATAAATTTCTCTCAAAATAGACTTTTCCTCATAAAATACACTTCGTTGTGATAAATGGTTTTGAAACCCGACAAGTTAAAGATTGAGACACTTATGCAACACATGGGAATCCTTAATAAAAATTCCCTTATATTATATAAGTGTCTCAATCTTCATAAACTTCGTTCTTTAGCTAAATATATGGAAAATTTCTAACGATGATATACAGGTTACAAAGCGTGGTAATCCTTAACATTCTTCAACAAGAATACTGTGAAGCTAAACAAAGGTATAATTTCTGAATTATGTATACAGGTCAAAGTCATGATAAAATCATACATATGATAAGTAAAAAACTACGAGAGGTAAATAGTTTTGTTAAATAGAGGTATTTATTTACTTTTATACACTTGTTTTCTTCATTAAAGATAAGTCATCTCGAGTCAAACAAGACAAGACAAGAGGTAACAGTTGCATTATGAGGTAATAACACATAGCATAACAACATGAAATTTCTTCTTCCCAAAATCATTTTTTTTTTCAACCAACCATCTAAAACATGGATGGTTTTGTGGTAACTGCTGCGTTTCAACAAAAAATTAAATAACAAACTGCCTATTTACTCTTATTAATAAATCAAACATAATTCACAAAATATTGAATAGCATGACAAACAAAAACAATGTCTTTCAATTTTCTGGCACATAAAACTATTAATTTTTTTTTTTTGAAAGAGACATTCTTAATGAAGTATTGATATTCTGTCTGGTTATCAAGGAAGTCACAGAAGCGCTCTCCAGTGAGCTCAATATCTGGTTCTTTGATGATGCTACCCTAGCTGGCACTACAGAATCTCTCCTAGAGGACATCAGAAAAATAAAAAACATGGGAGAGAGCCTGGCCCTATCTTTAAACCCCACCAAAAGTAAAATAGATTCTACCAATCGACTGGGTCCACTGCCATTGATCAGATCCTAGAAAAAAAATCTCAGACCTCAGGACGATGGAAGGCAGGATGAAAGACATCGATACACATGATGACATCTACCTACTCACCAGGTGCCTGTCAATCCTAAAACTTACCTACTTCCTGAGATACTCCCCAGCCATCAGCAGTCTGAAACTCAAGGAATATGACTCTCCTTAAGACCATGCTAGAGAGTGTATTGAATCTTTCCCTCGAAGATGGACAGTGGTTGCAAGCCTGGCTGGAAGTGAGGCTTGCATTGTGTGTGTACATGTGTGTATGTGTGTTAATGTGTGTGTGTGTGTGTGTGTTTGTGTATTGGCCTGTTTGTGTTGGTGTGTATGTGTGAGATCGTGCACGAATAAATGCGTATGTGCGTGTGTGTATTTGTTGATGTGTGTATATCTGTGTGGTTGTGTGCATGTGTGTGTTGGTGTGTGTGGGTGTTGGAGTGAGTCCTTTTACTAGAATATTGTTGAATCTGTTATCTATTCACTCATCTGCTTAGTTACATAAGAAATCTTTACTAAAAACACCTGTCCACACACCTCATGTTTGTGTGTGAGGATCCACCTATTTGTTCTCACTTGTTTATGGTTGCAGGGGACAATTCACAGCTCCTGGCACCTTCTTCGCTAATCGCTTCTAAATCTGCTCTCTCCCTACTCTAGAGCCTTATCGTACTCATCTTAAAGCTATTTATAGATCTTGCCTCCACTATTTCGCTCTCTAGATTGTTCCACTTCCTGAAACCATAAGGCTTAACAACAACTTAGTAACATCTCGCTTCTAATATTATTATATAGGTAATATAAAAACGCAGATAGCAATATATGTGCGGAATATATTTCCTGATATCATGGCTACAATAAAATATTTGTATATTTAAGGCCAGTTTAAATGTTGGAAACATTATTATACTGTTATCAGAATTTAAGTTGAGATCAAAGGTCAAATACCTTTGGCACCAACATCATTATCATCATCATCATCAGCATCAGCAGCAGCAATACTAGCAATACCTGCATTGGAACCAACAAAATTATCAGCTCAGTTGTTACATTGTAGCTCAGTGGTAGCACGTTCGGTTCATGACGAAATGTTTCAGGTTTGATCTTGAGCGAGGTGGGACAAACAGGCAAGTTACCTAACACTTGCTGCTTCTGCTTCCCTGTAAGTAAATAGATATTTAGAAGTTCAATTGTTGATGTGGGTGGCACCGTGAAGAGGATCTAAGGACCCAAATGGACATTCGTCACATTGCCTGTTTGTCTTGGATTATCCACCCTACGAGGAATTGTCTTCTTCTATAAGCTCGAGTTCTTGACCCAGACCAGACCTTAACCTAGATGAAATACAAGTAGTACTAGCACTAATCATCAAACATCATCTCGTATCAGCACTAATACATGCACTAACAGTAACATGACTAATTAACAGATCTAGTAAGGACAATATTATATGCCTCACTGCAAGTCCGAAAGGAAGGTCGTACAATAATTTAACTCCTGATTATACCGACCATTTTTTGAAACTGCTGTATACTATACTTTTTATACACTTCAATTCGATACGCTACATTTTGATACTCTTTGATGCCAGTGATACAAGAAATAACGATTCTACGATTCCATGAAAAAATCCCTCAATTACTGGGTGATGTATGACTTCAACAGGGTTAGCGCTCCCTTCATGAGTTTGATAATAATAATAATAATAATAATAATAATAATAATAATAATAATAATAATAATAATAATAATAATAATACTGATTTCAAAGAGTAAAGAAAAACACTTGTTTTTATATGGATATTTATTCATTGTGTAATAGGCTTGTTATGGAAGACTAATGTAAATGTTTAAACATTGTCCACGGGTAGTAGTGGCTTCAGTGGAAGACGGTCGTCGTTGAGGTCGTTCTCAAGAAGATGTCGTTGAAGTGTTCATTCGGTTCTCCCTCCAGTCTCTCCTTTCTACCCATGGTAGCCACCACGACCTCTGAAGTTACCATCATGTAAACATTAATCACTGAGCACCCAGGCCATCTACCATAAACGGTAAAGGTATCACTGGTCTTATTTAATTAATATATATCATTAATAATTTAATCTCTTTTCATGTATATATGATGTTTCAATGATAACTGGACACAATCATGCCTTAACTTACCCACCGAATTTACCACCAAATTCACCGCCACCAAATCCGCCGCTACCGAATCCACCGCCAAGTCCTCCGCCAAATCCACCGCCAAGTCCACCACCACCAAATCCACCAAGTCCACCACCACCAAATCCACCAAGTCCACCACCACCAAATCCACCTCCTCCAAATTTACGGCGATATCCTGCAGAGGGATCAGGGTAGGCTATCACCACTCCCACCACAGTCAACACCACTACCAACATCATCTGGGAAGAAAAATAAAATCTAGAATTGTTATTGCCACTCTAACTGCTGACTATGAGAGTACTAAGTGGTGTATTTTCTGATTATTAACGTCTTCATGTCTATGTAAATTTGTACTCGAATACTACCTATTCTTCATATAAAAGGCAGGAATATGTACTTGCGTTCTTAGTCTAGTCTTAACGGTTAAAAATATCCTACCATGTCTTCTGAAAATGAATGAAGAATGGCAATAGAATAAGAAACTGTGATTCATTATATTCTCAATTAATCTTATTTCTACAACATTGTCATGTGAAAATACAATCTTTTCGAACAAAATTTCACAAAATTATCAAACTCTAATCATCTAGAAAATCTTTTAATAATGATTTCCAACATGGAGAGTCCAACACTTCTCTACATTTATCACATGCAAAGTATTTTATTCAGTAACACATATACATTAAAAAGACATGAAAGTGAGTTCTGTATTAATCTGATGCCTTATAAATTTTACCACGTTCGTGATCAGCTGTATATTAAGAACAATGCTCTTCAAAGTGAATCTGCAAGAATGTTTTGACGCCGGTGAAGGCTCATGATTCAAGAAATATGATCTACACTCTCTTTCCTTGTATCAAACATAATGGCGTTCCTTTCCCATTTGCTGTTTGATCTCTACGAGTTTAGTGTTTGTTCATGAATTTATGTATGTAAATTGTTTAAATTATGCTGGAGACTCACGTTCACCATTATAACCTGTAAGAGGATAAAAAGCACCACCAGTGCTAATAATAATACCAGAACTGATACCACCAACAGCACTAACATTGGCACCAACAGCAGCACCAGAACTGGCACAAACCGATGCACCAGCAGTGGCACCGACAACAGGACCAGAAGTACACTAGCAGTAGCACCTATACTGGCGCCAACAGATGCTCTAGCAATGGCACAATCAGCAACTTTAGTACTGGCACAAACAGTAGCACCAGTACTGGCACAAACAGTAGCACCAGTACTGGCACAAACAGCAGTACTAGTACCAGCAGCACTGGCAACAACAGCAGCACCAGCAACAACTCACCGTGAATTCATAACTACTTACCAGCCCTCGCAGAGACATCATGGTAGCTGTTGTTTACTTGTGAGTGAACAAGTGATGCTTAACAATGTCCAGCTCCAGCTTATATATCCAGCTCACTCAAACCACAACGTTGTTCTTGCCAACTGATGCTATTTTACCATCATCAAAGAAATACCGCGGATACATTTTGTTCTTTAGCTCTTATATTAAATAAGGAAAGAGACCTGTTTTTTAGGAGCTATTAATGGATTTTTTAAGTATCTGAATTATTAAACACAGTCTTTGTATTAGGCATTACCAGCAGTACAGGACATACAGGGAAACACTGGTCGTGATTGCCAGAGAAGTATGGAGGGGAATTTTACAATGATTGCTCAAACACCTTAGGAGTTTCCTACCATAAAATTTCTTGATCTTCTCTTATTTTCTCCTTAATATTCTTCTCTGTCTCTGTTTGTCTCCCTTTCTCTCTCTTCCTCCATCTTTCCCACTGTAATATAGGCCTTAGACAAGGATGTGTGATGTTACTGTGGTTGTTGTTCAATATATTTATAGATGGGGTTGTAAGAAAAGTAAATGCGGGGGTCTGGACAAGAGGTGTGGCGTTAAAGATAAGGAATCAAACACAAAGTGTGAGTTGTCACAGTTGCTTTTTACCTGATGACACGGTGCTTTTGGGAGATTCTGAAGAGAAACTGCAGAGGTTGGTGGATGAATTTGGTAGGGTTTATAAAAGAAGAAAATTAAAAGCGAATATTGGAAAAAGTAAGGTTATGAGGATAACAAAAAGATTAGGTGACGAAAGATTGGATATCAGATTGGAGGGAGAGAGTATGGAGGAGGAGAATGTATTCAGATATTTGGGAGTGGACGTGTCAGCAGATAGATCAATGAAAGATGAGGCGAATCATAGAATTGATAAGGGGAAAAGGGTGAGCGGTGCACTTAGGAGTCTGCGGAGACAAAGAACTTTGTCCTTGGAAGCAAAGAGGGGAATGTATGAGAGTATAGTTTTACCAACGCTGTTATATGGGTGTGAAGCATGGGTGATGAATGTTGCACCGAGGAGAAGGCTGGAGGCAGTGGAGATGTCATGTCTGAGGGCAATGTGTGGTGTGAATATAATGCAGAGAATTCGTAGTTTGGAAGTTAGGAGGAGGTGCGGGATTGTCAAAACTGTTGTCCAGAGGGCTGAGGAAAGGTTGTTAAGGGGGTTCGGACACGTAAAAAGAATGGAACGAAACAGAATGACTTCGAGAGTATAAGTCTGTAGTGGAGGGAAGGCGGGGTAGGGGTCGGCCTAGGAAAGGTTGAGGGGGGGTATAGGAGGTTTTGTGTGCGAGGGGCTTGGACTTCCAGCAAGCATGCGTGAGCGTATTTGATAGGAGTGAATGGATACAAATGGTTTTTAATACTTGACGTGCTGTTGGAGTGTGAGCAAAGTAACATTAATGAAGGGATTCATGGAAACCGGCAGGCCGGACTTGAGTCCTGGAGATGGAAAGTACAGTGCCTGCACTCTGAAGGAGGGGTGTTAATGTTGCAGTTTAAAAACTGTAGTGTAAAGCAACCTTCTGGCAAGACAATGATGGAGTGAATAATGGTGAAAGTTTTTTTTCTTTTTCGGGCCACCCTGCCTTGGTGGGAATCGGCCAATGTGTTAATAATATAATATTATATATATATATATATATATATATATATATATATATATATATATATATATATATATATATATATATATATATATATATATATATATATTTAATGTTCCAGAAAATTCGTAATATTTCGATTTTTGTTGGTCATCCTACTTAATATTATGTAAATTATGTTTCATTTATAAATTAGAAGATCAAACCTCCCCCCCCCCATAACCCCCTATATGAAAAACTAGGAGAAGTATAATATTAATTTTGAAAAAACACCTCAGAATTATCATTATACGGGTATGCCTACCTATTTATTTGGTAGTAGACTTGCAAGATATTAAAGAAAGAATATATAACACATTGATTGTTGGGTCATAAGTGCGGACAGCATAATGAATAGAGTTTAAAAAAAAGTCTGACTAAACTTTGGTAGGAAGCAAGTTTCCAAGACAATTTGGTCATTTATAAGCATAGTTACAAGTTGGGATCTACTGTATATAACTGGTGGGATCTCTGATGTTAATCGGGATACATTATTTAATTATTGTGTATGTAGGTATTTTGCTACCGTGTTTATTAAATTTAATATTTTAAATTATGGTAATGATTTCTATGCAAAACATGTTTATAAAGAGTGGAAAATTATAAATGTGGAAATATAAGTTTATGGTGGATGTTGCGCCTAGTTTAAACAGCGCATTATGGTTACTGGTTAGGGGGTACAATGGTACCATGGTACAATAAGACACCAAATGATAAATTAGACACATGTGGAACATTTAGGTATCTTTACTATGTAGACGTTTCATTAACATGTGACTTTATCAGTACAATACTGAAGACTGGAGAGGTACAAGATGAGGTAATCAGTCCCTTAGTCTAGTTGTAGCTGGGGTCGGAGAAGGCGAGTTGCTGATGAGGTCTTAAGAAGTTGTGTGCGTGTCGGTTCCCTCCTCCAATTCTGCTGTATTATGCCGACTCTGCCCTGTAGAAGTGTATGTATGTGTATATTGAATGCATATTGTAATTTTATATAATTAACTCCTTCATATACATTATTTATATTGAGTGCTCATGGCAAATGAATACTATACATGGGGACACAGCGTTAGTCACAGTGAATGGTAGTGATAGTGGATGCTAGTGACAGTGGATGGTAGTGACAGTGGATGGTAATGACAATGGATGGTAGTGACAGTGGATGGTAGTGACAGTGGATGGTAATGACAATGGATGGTAGTGACAGTGGATGGTAGTGACAGTGGATGGTAGTGACAGTGGCTGGTAGTGTCAGGGGCTGGTAGTGAGAGTGGCTTGTAGTGACAGTGGCTTTTAGTGGCAGTGGCTGGTAGTGACAATAGTTGA